TGGATCCAGTGGTTCTCAGTGAGGTAGTGCTAATCCTTGGTGGTGGTAGCAGGTGGTGGAGATGAGGGTGAAGCCGTATTTCAAAAATATGTGCTCTTTAGGTTACCAAAATCATGAAAAAATACACTATCACTCGTGTGGTCAATCCCTTATAACAGAGTTGGTCTGCATTCTGTATGATTTTTGAGGTTTTAATGCTTCTGGAGATTTCAACATAAGGGGAAATCTGTCTAGATAGAACCTGAATGTTTTACATATAACCAGCCCACCTCCCCTTTTTCAAAAGAACGCTTTTAATATACATATAAAATTTCCAGCATGCCAACAGATGTCTGTTGAAGACAGACTGTACTTTATACTGTCAAGAGATTAAGACATGCCTATTAGAAGGGCCACTCTCAACTACAAATTCTCTTGAGGACAAGGCCTGCAATCTTTATTACTAGCATAGGAGCTAGTTTGGGCTCACTCATTGATTAAAAGCATGAACAGCTACTGTCCTCAGAGGAACACAAAGGGAAAACACAAAATAATCCAAAGAGGTATTAGAGAGAACACACACCTAGGTTTTCCCAAGATGCAATTCTCTTCTACATCTTAAATAATTTGTGTTCCATGGGGTCTGGCACTAAGTACCAAATCACTAGTAGATTTGTCTATCCCCTTCATTCTTTAAATAATCTCCATCTTGAATTGAACCCAAAAAAACTTTACAGTGTCACTTAGTAAGCAGAGGTTTGAAGTCCCAGAATGGAAAGCTACTAGTTTGAATGACCATGCAGATAAAGCTGTGAGAGTCTGTCAAACACTTAAACAAAGTTTGTTTCACTTCGAATAAAAACAATCTTTAACTCATTATATGTTCATATTGAAAGTGGAGGCATAGAGATGAGACTAAGGAATAAAATTTTAATATGTGAAATATAAATACAGTAAAACTTTAAATAGGTATCCAACCAAACTTTTATTGGGGTTTTATTGCAATCTACTTTCAGCAGTAAGGGGAAGGTAACCATAAGAATGCCAATCAGATTTTATTCAACATAGCAGTTTTTCATGAATGCTTAAGGTCAGTGTATAGTCAGCTCAGCTTCCAGTATCAACTTGAGTACCTCATCATATAAATTTATGCCAGAATGACAGTAGTAAGGCATTGAAAGATCCTAAATCATCTAAGATTAAACCATATTTTACATATATTTTTTTCGGTCAGTATAGTAATACTCTATAATAAATATTTTAAAAATGTGTTGCTTAGCCCTTGTTGAACTATATTCAATTACTAGCTTATTCTTTAAGTACTCCAGTTAATAAAGGTTTGATTGTATTCAAGAACTCTGACTTTTCCAAAAATAAAAAAATTAGTTCTTATCTGATATGACAAAAGTAAGCTTAAAAGCACATTCACACTTGTCCTTAAAAGCATGTTTACATCATATATAAGATGACTTTTCATGCCTGGAGACATGGCTTATATGGCAAAAAGAATCAGATGCAAGGAACCACCAGAGGGCGCTCCTCCCCTCGCCACTTCCTCCAAAAAGCCACACTCGGCCTTAGTGTAAAAGTTATATATTTTATTGCCATGCTACAAAATGTATGAAGTTGGCACTGATAGGGAGAAAGAGAGAACAAAAGACAGGGAGGTGTGGAGGGTAAAAGATGTTGTTAACATATACAACAAGGTTTTAATCAACAGTGGTAAATTTCGCCAATATTAAAAATGCAAACCAAAATTTTAAATGCTGATAGGAAACAGCATTAAAATACAATTTATGCATAGTACAGTATCACTTTTGTCTTTTATTAGAGAAATGGAATGTTTATAAAAGAAATTAACCATAGGGGGTAAAATTGGTATTTCATATACAATTTGGCAATGGTAGTCCCACTGTTAAGACAATTTTTGTATAAAAGAAAAAAATTAAAAATCTAATAAGCTACCTTTATACAAAGTTGCTATATTTATGCCTTTATGTAGGAAAAAAACATTTATAATGTAAATTAGGACATACAATAATCTTACAATATTATACAATGTAATGAAAATAAAAACATAACACAAAATTTGTCCTTTATAAAATGTCTACTTTGCATTTACTAATGCAAATGTGGCACACCGGTGACTACTGTACTATTAATACCAGTCCATTTCCATGCTCTTACTGTCCAATTATCATAGAATTGCAATTGTAATGATGCTACAAAAGAACTGTTATACCCCCCAAAACAAGGAAGGATGGATAGGGGTGTAAGAAAAGGAAAAGCAGATACGGTGCTGGTTTGGGCAGAGTACACTGTTGTGTAACAGAGAGTATTTGTTAAATTTTTCAAACAAAAATACATTTTGTATACATTCTGTAAATTCGTACCAATGCCTTTATTCAAATTTGGCAAACATCACAGGGAAAAGGTAATTAGTACCATATTCCTCACATATCAGAAATATGAGGGAGATGCCAACACATTAGTTACTTCTGGGTAATTCCTATGGTATCTCTTCCAAGGAGATAGACATCTTTACGTATATGTATACATGTATGTGTACTTACACATAAAGACTACACATTGCACAAAAACACTTGGGCGTTATAGGTTAGGAACAGCACAGGAAGAAGCAGGAAGTACTTTTCAGCTTGTTAAAACCTTTACCTTGAGGCAAAAATATGGTGGTGGCACATTATTGGAAAATTATGAAAACATAAGGCCCCTGTCCCATTTTGAATAGAACATTTTTGAGGTACATTTTTATATGTTGTGCCACATTTTTTTTTTTAATGTAGAAGAGGGGAGGGATAAACAAACACTAGCCTGACTTAAAACATTGAATGGTGGGGTCAACATTAATATATATATAAACAAAGATTGCTTGGCAAATTTTCAAAGTCCCAAATGTGATCTTTTCTGGATATACTGGGAAGTGAAAAGCTTTTTGCTGAGTCTTCAAGAGTAAAGTGCATATCTCACCACTCCACAGCAGCAGTAAATAAAAGGAACTATTTGCCAATCTTCTTGGAGGGAGGGAAGGCACCATATTTTCATTTTAAAGATGAAACTGGGAAATAAAATAAACTGAGAGAAAACGCAGGTAATATACCCATATCAGTTTCCAACCCTGGTCTGGGATAAAGGCTGTTATTCTCTATATGGACACAAGAGGATTCTATGTGGGGAAAAACATAAACAACGTTTATATTTCAAAACCAAAAAGTGGGATCACATGGTCTATCAACAAAACAATATATCTAAAATTAGGTCTGTCTCAGAAAATCTGAAACATATGGCCACAATCGTATGCCAATAAAAATATTTCATTCTAAAATGTACCTAGTAATAGGTACATTCTTCCAGGACGGAGCTTAATGCCCATTACTAAACTACTGCAAAGGACAAGTAGTGTTCTACATTACTTTTATTAAATAGGAACACAGGTGATTTCCAGAAGGCATCTAGAAATTAACACCAGTTATACATATTTTCCTAATACTCGTAGTACCTAAACTCAAATTCTTAGCAGACAAATTGGTCCCATTTTCATTTTTAAAGCACATAGTATTTAAAGCATAAACTGTAGTGATTATACTGGAGTTACCTAAAAAGTATAAAAATTAATTAGAATCTGCAGGGGGAAATGAAAAAAATGAGGAAAAGAAGAAAATAAACTATCCAATCTCCAAAATGAATAAACAGGTCAGCCCTTTCATTTGGAGGTCAATGTTCTGTAGTGACTGCTTTTTTTTTTCTTCCAGAGAAAACCGTGTGCACTGGTTTCATCCCAATTCTTATTCCTTATTATAAATATCACATAAATTTGGCACAATTAGCAATCTACTAAGAAGAAAGCATAAATGTAACATTATGTTAAGAATGGACAAACTGCAAAACCTACACCATTGCTCTTTTTAGAGAAAAGTGTACACTGTAGCAAGCACCAAGTTAACAAGAAAAAAACTGCTATGCACACAAACCAATGGCACTGAAAATGATAAAGACATCTTTAATAATTTATTTTCTTTATAATGGTCCCACTCTATTGTTCTGCTAATCCACTTACCATCCTATAATTAAGCTATTTACTGAAAAGTTGTATGCTATAGGACTGAAACTTTTCATGCTAACTTAACCTTAATTATATCTGGTAGATCCAGACCATAATCTCAAACTTCCTCATATTTAGAGAAAACAGCAAAATATTTCACAAGATTACCTACCCTTTCTTTCACTCTACCTTCTCTTGACTTCTCTAGCATTTGGGAAATGGGAACATTCTTGATTTTCTGAGAGTTAGATATATGACATTTCATCAGTTTATATAAACTTCAATTCATTTTAAATCCTAAATTATGACACAATCTCAATGCTACAAGACTTCCACTGTACCTGCTATGCTGGCAACAATCTTAACATTCTATTGACGTCAAGGTGTAATTACAAAGGTCCAGCTAGGAGTGAGGGCCAGCAGAGTCCAGGAGCACGGCATCGGGCAGAGAGTGACCGCAGCCGTGGGACTAGGGAATTACTGCTAAAGTGCTGGGGAGTGCCCACTGAGACAACAGTACCTTCTGGGAACTTTGCGTGCTCAAAGTAGCTTCCTTTTTATTCTCAGTTGCTAAAGAGATCACCTATGGACACGTGAATTTAAAATTGGGAGAATGCTTTTATCAACTTGAAAAGTAAACAGCATATAAATAAATACTGGACAAGGGCAACCCTGTTATAGAATAACAGTAAGTTCTAAGTGAACCTTCAAAACCACAATTTGACAAAATTGCAAACTAAACAACAATGAACACATAATCCAATTGCAAAACTATATACAAACTCAAACATTTTAAGTTGAAAAAGACATTAAGCAACAAAGTAAGACATCCCAAACACCAAAGGAAAAAAACTGAGGGTAAACAGAAATCTAATGGCACAAATGCCTCCAGAAAACAAGGTTATTGTTAATCACCTATTGGTGAGAACCTTTCAAGATTCAGATTTTCAATTTGGGGGGGGGCGGGGGGGGGGTAAAGTGACCTGAGACTTATTTTTGAGCCTATTTTAATTCTGATTAAGATATTTAGGCATGCCCTTCAAATGCCATCATGAGATGAGTAAAAAGAAAATCTCGTCCCCTCCCTGCCTTTCAACACACCAACAGCATCTTCACTATTTAGGGCTTTCTAAAACGACTGCAGGCAAAGGAACTGACTAGTATAGAAGGTGGTGTGGAACTTCTATTTCCTTAACATAATGTTTTGGCTCAAGTCAAAAAAGTCTATAATTCATGAAGTAAAAGATTCTTTATGTTACATGCTGGAGGCCACATACCATGAATAGTGACTCTACAGATTACTACTTTCAAAGCCTAGAGTTACCTGTTAGCAATGCACATCATCAAGAGTCTGTATAAAATGCCAACCATGACTTAGACATGATATGCGTAAGTCCAGAATATTGATAAAAACCAACCAACATGTCACTCACTCCAACTTTCATTTTAAATAGGCACTGTGAAAATGGGAATGCTGCTGTACAATAATGAGAAGTATATAATGAAATTAGTGTTCTTTATGAGTACCTGCTCTACATTAATTCCCTTTAAAGAAGCACATGAATTATTCAGAAAAATTTTTTTATCAGTTTATAAAAGGAGTTAGTGTTTAGAAATGAAAATGAAGCACTTGCATCTTCATTTTAAAAACTTCACAAAGGTGCGCGTAAGGTAAATGCTTTCCAGGCTCACATGGGCAGGTCAGTACTATTATGTCTCGTTTTCCTAGATGTACCATCGTCTCGTGGCAGTGCTTTCTGCAAATTTGACATAGCAGCAGTTCTTTCAATGTCTATCACAGCATACAGCTCTGTGCGCCTGGTAGGAGTTTGTGGAAGGGGAGTGGTAGGTGTTTTTGGAGTCTGAGGGTTGTCAGAGTCACTGCCACCTTCCAAGTCAACCTGTATGTAATTGAGCTGCCTGTGATCTAAACTTGGGCGTCTGATATCAAAGTTAAAGACTGTCGGCGTACAGTCCCGACGCCTTGAATAGTCTATTTTGTGAGCACTTGCCGGCACTGTTACATTCTCGGTATTTACATAGTTATGCATTGGATCTAGATTATTATGGTAGCCATTTAGAGATGGGGTCTTTGGTCCTAAATGGTCATCTTCATCCCTACTTAGCTTGCGGGCTTCCCAAACAGGAGGCAAAGATGGTAAATTTTCATAGTTTAATAATGCAGTTCTTCTCTGAGCTGAATTGTTGATATTCTGGGTATCTGAGGTACTAGTAGATGTCAGACGACCTCTCCTCGCCCCTGAGGCACTGGGGATAGATAGCCCATTTATGTTTTCATACACCAGTTTGTTAACAGAAGGCGCCTCTCTTCGTTCATCACTGTCATAGCCAGTGTCCCATTCTGTGCTATTTGCACCACTTCCGCTGACTTGATCTCTCCCAAGTTGCTCCAATTTCTCTTTTTCCATTAATTGCTTTTGAACAGGGGTTGGCCCCAAGACAAATTTGACTCCTTCGGGTTCAAGAAGAATCTGAGGGTCCCTGTCCTCAATGCTACTTGGTTCTTCTTTCGGTGTGCTGTTTTCAGCATTAGAAATCCTCGCCTCCAATGGGACATGCACACTGGAGCGGTTTTTCCTCTCTTCTTGAACACCTGTTGTGTTAACATAGGTATGTACCTAAAACAAATAGGAAATTGAATCAAAATCAAAAATGTCGGACCACATCAGTTCATTTTTGAGGAAATCTCTCTTTAAAGAGAGATAAAAATAAACTCTTACTTTTAAGCATTAGTACCTGTTTTGTTTTTAACTAATAAGAAGGTGGGGGTGGGGGAGAGGAATGTAGAAATGTCTTCCTAACTTGAAAAAGGAACAACTCTAAAACAATATGCAACATTACCCTTGGTAATGGAACATGAGAAGCATCTTGTTAAAAAAAAAAGTGAAGAACACATGGATTTATCATTTTGATGTTGTTCTAGAAATTCTTATCAATACATTAAAATATGACTCAGAAGAAATAACAAGACTTAAAAAGGGACAAATTTATCATTATTTACAATTCATCTGACTACATAAATAAACCTTACAGGTTTAATAAGAGTTCTATAAAGTAGAGCTGTAACATAAATACCATCTATTAAGAAATGACTGCTGCATTAAAAGAAAAAAGCTCAATGGTATTTTGGGAGAATAATATAGAAATGCTTAGAAGTCTCTCTCTCTCTCTCTCTCTCTCTCTCTCTCT